TACCCTCCAATTGGTGGCAGGCCGTTGCATAGGATTATCTGTGGTTGCTAGCTCAAACCCGTGAAGGAAAATTGTGGGACTTCAGAGAAGAAAGACTTCATGCAGGGTGGAGAGGGGTCATCAGGAGCTGTTTGTGGACTCGAACTGTGGATATGAGATTTGGATTGTTCTAAAGAGAGAGGCTGTGGTTAAGACAGGAGTTGAGCATTGAATTTCAAGGAGAATATAGGAGTCTTTTTGGGGAAAAAAATTTAATGCGCACAGCTGTTTTGTCTGCATGTATGTCTGTGTACCGTATGTGTGCAGTGCCTAAGGATGCCAGAGTAGGTCATTGGATCCCTTGGACTGGAGTTACAGGTGGTTGTGAGCCCTTTGGTGGGTGCTGGGAATTGAACCCAGGTCCTCTGGAAGAGCAGTTAGTGCTCTTAAGGGCTGAGCCATCCCTCCAGCCCCTGATCATGGAAGGGTCTTGACTAGAGAAGAGGGTGAAATTGACAAGTGGTAGAGGAAAAAGTGGATAGTTGAGGCTGTAGCATTTTGGAATTACTGGTCTTTGGGGTGTGTGTGTGTGTGTGTGTGTGTGTGTGTGTGTGTGTGTGTGTGTGTGTGTATACTCACCTGTACATGTATATCTCTCTGTTTTTGTGCCTACATGTTTGGTTAAGTTTATTTCTGCATGTGTACATGCATGCATGCATACATACATGCATGTCTGTCTTCCCAGCAGTCCTAGGCAGATGCTTATACCTGAAGCTGGCAGTGCGGGGCTGCCTTTGAGAGCCTCTGCTTACTTTCCCATGACTAAGAACCAGGAAGAGGGAAGATGGTCATTACACAGCTTGTGACAAAGTGGCCTCACTGCTTCCTGTTTCCGTGGGGGAGGGGTGGTAGGAAGAAGCATTTTAGGGGATGACAGTGAATGGAATCTGGGCAATGTCGAGAACTGCAGGGCTGTACCTTCTGTTGAAAAGCCACCAATTCTTACATGGGTAAACCATTGGGGCAAACTAGTGCAGTCAGATGGAGTCGAACTGCCATGTAGGGAGACTGCAGTGGCGGCGGTCTGGGGACACACAGACAGGCCAGGGCGGCTGGAACTCCCTCCTCTTGCATTATGTGTCATTTCTCCTAACCCACTTCCCCAGCCAGTCCTCATTCAGAAACCACAGGCTACTCTGAAAGCACAATAGGAAAGAACTGCCAGGGGAAGACTTCTTCAGGCTTCTAGACCAAGACTGTTTGAAACTGTGCCCTCCCGTCATAAAGGAGAGGCCGTTTCTGAGAGGTGGTAGGGGGTTCTTATTCTCAGCTCTCCCTGACAAGTTTACTGTGACATGAACCTGCAGCCCAGGGAGAGGATAGGATGTGTCTGCCACAGGCAGACACCTTTTTTTCCTAACTAGGTAGGATGTCTTTTATGACCCCTGTAGGATATAATGATGGGTTGTGACCACCTTCATGTGATGGTCACACCTGTAGAGGTGGATTCATTGTAGTCTCCACGGCTGCATCTCCACGCTGGTTCTTTTTCCTTGGGTGGATACAGATTACCCACTAATACAGACAAGAAATAAATCTATTTAAGAAGAACTTCCTCTGAAGCATAGTTTACGGACTGTGACAGCCGTGTGCTTCCAGCGTCCAATTCAGAGGTGGAGTTTTTGAAATATTTGTTTTTATTTATGTGTGTTGCCTATGTGAGTTTCCGTGTACCACGTGTGAGCGGGTCCCCTGTGGGGGCTTGAAGAGGGTGTTCGGTCCCCTGGAGCTGAAATTACAGGAAGCTGCGCCATGCCTGGTGTGGGAGCTGGGAACTGAACCCAGGTCCTTTACAGCAGCAGTGAGAGAGCTCTTTCCCCACTGAACCTTCCCCCCCCCCCGGCCCCCAGTTTAATCACGTTAGTGAATAATGATGCAGCTGCTTGTTACCAAGCTCAGTTTGTCCGCACCTCCCTCGAAAGTTCCCCAGTGGATAGGTTGCTCAGTCACTGCCCTCGTATCCAGTCCAAGCAGCCAATCATTCGATCTGTCGTTAGACAGATTAGCATATTCTGAACATTTCAACAATAAATAGGGTCAAGAACGTTTCTGCTTATGTCTTCCTTTGCTCGGCGTTCTTTGTGGTTATCCAGGTCGTGGCGTGCGTCCATATATCATTTTTTCATTGCTGGATGGTATTCTGCTGCACGGATTTATGGCCAGAGTGCTCTTACCTGTTTTAAGTAGGGCACAGGAGCCGCCTCTCTGTGTTTGTCTCTCTCATGACGCAGCTTGTGATGCAAAATCGGCAGCCAGTTACTATGTTGGATGGTGGAAAGGGGTCTCTATGTTGATTCACTTCAGATCAAAAATATTTGGAAAAGATATGTATAGATATTTTTCTCTTAATTTTTTTTCCTTTTTGGGTGTGTGTATGCATGCGTGTATAATGTATGTATACATGTGTATGCATGTAGGGTATATGTGTGTTTAGGGTGGAGATAAACATTAAGTATCTTCTTCCACTGTTCCCCACCGCCTCCACTGCTCCCCACCGCCTCCACCGCTCCCCACCGCCTCCACCGCTCCCCACTATCTCCATTGCTGTCCTCTTTGTCATATTTACATATTTACTTTTTATTTATTTATTTTGGTGACAGCCTGTCTCACTGAATCTGGGCTCACTAGTTACTTAGACTGAGCCGTGAGGCCTAGAGGTCCTCCTAACTTTATATCCCCTATGCAAGATTACAGGTGCGCCTGTGCCCACACCTGGCCTTTTAAATGGGAGCTGGGGTTGCAATATCAGGTCCTCATGTTTATGGGGCCGACACTTTACCGACTGTAATTCTCAAGTGATGCAGTACAGTAGCTGCCTGTGAGCATCTACATTATTTCAGGTACTGCCAGCCATCTGGAGTAATAGAGTAGGAGAGGGCGTGCTTAGGCTGTATGTCACCACCACACCATGTGTTATAACATGTTGTATGCTTTCCTGTCCTCACAGGGTGAGGTTGTGAGGTTGGATATCAAGACACAACTGTGCCGTAGTTTGTGTACCCCGCTGGGTTGTCTGTGCTTGTTGACTGTGTGAATAACACAGCCACGTTGGTTTCTTGTGGTTGCCATCACAATGGTGGCAAATTCAATGGCTTGAGACAACAGGAATGTATTATCTCAAGTTCTGGAGCCCAGAATTCTGAAAATTCTGAAATGAAGGTGTGGACTAGTCTGCATGCCCCTGGAGACTCTCAGGAGAGTCGGTCTCATTTACTGCCAGCCACCACTGGTGGCTGGCTGTTCCAGTTGCTAGGTTACAGCGACTCTTGGCTTCCATTCCTTCTCCTTCCCTTCCCTCGACTTGTAGGAAGCACCCTAAGATAACTACGTGTTCTCTTCGTTACCTCCTTTGCCGGATAAGGTGGACCCACAGGTTGTGGGGGATTGGCGTGCAGCAGCTATGAACATTGAGATAATGGTATTGTGTAGATCTGATGGAGTTTTTCTTCTTTTGGCTGCTCCTCCTCGGAGTGGATTTGCCGAGTCATGCAGTGATTTTAATTCACTTTTAAGAACCTTGCTGTCTAGTTTCTGAAAGGTCTCTTGTTCTGAAGTCCTACCTGCCAGGGGTTTGAGCTCTAACAACCCGTATTCTTGGTAACCATCTTTTTAAAATGCAGCCATTCTAGTAGGTGTGGAGAGGCATCTGATGGCGGTTTAGATTTGCACTCCTCCCATGACTAATAACGTGTTTCATGTGGTTCTTAGTCACTTGTGTGGAGTTCCGATAAGATACCTCTGCAGAGCTCCGGCCAGTCCTCCCCCATGTCAGTGGTGAGTTAGTCTGTTGTCTTCTCTGGGGCCCTAACATTACCTGTCCCAAGAATTATGGAGTGCTAGGGTTACTCTGTCCCCAGAGTGTTGAGGGCTGGGCCATGGTGCTACTCTTGCATTGTGACCTATATTACTCTGTTATTTGAGATAAATGGTCCTCGTATGCAGCCTTTTCGACCAGTGAGCACCTTGTCAAGGAAGCCAAGAGACCACTCTCCTGTGCCCTAACAATCGTGAGCTTAAATGGGTTTCAGGTTGGCTGTTGTCTCATGGACAAGGGGAACGGCCCACAGACGTTCTTATTGTATTCTCTAGCCTGGATTCTTCTGTAGTGCTATCCCAACTTTAACTAAGCAGTTATTTATGGGATTATATATTTCATATCTTTCATCTTCCCACTAGACTGTTACATTTCCTGGGAATAGAGGCTACGTCTATGTGTTTTAGCTGACAGAGCATACGGTACGTGCTAGGCAACCAGTCAGCATACTGGAGGAAATGCAGCCCATGCTTTCTGCTTTGCAAAGAGTGGACCACGTGAAATCATTGGACAGAGGATGACTTGTAGAGTCCAGTGATGGCTAGTGCTGATTGTCAGCTGGACAGAGCTGGATCGAGGGAAGCTCGGCTGATGAGTTCCCTCCATTCGGCTGGTCTGAAAGCTCGTCTTTGGGGGCATTTTCTTTTTTTTTTTTTTTTTTTTTTTGGTTTTTCGAGACAGGGTTTCTCTGTGGCTTTGGAGCCTGTCCTGGAACTAGCTCTGTAGACCAGGCTGGTCTCGAACTCACAAAGATCCGCCTACCTCTGCCTCCAGAGTGCTGGGATTAAAGGCGTGGGCCACCACAGCCGGCTTGGGGGCATTTTCTTAACTGCTGGTTGATGGATTGTAGCCCAGCGCAATGTGGCCAGTACTATCTCTAGGCAGGTAGGACCATAAGAAAAGTAGCTGCGCAAGCCAGAGAAAGGAAGCCAAGAAGCAGTGTTCCTTCCTGGTTTCTGCTTCAGTTCCTGCTTCCAGGTTCCTGCCCTGAGCTCCTGCATTGGGTTCTCTAGAGGATCAGTTGTAAACCTGGCCAGTATTTTATTACAGCAACAGGGAAATGAACTAGAACTAACCTATGGGTCACTAAGTTATGAATGTGCCATTTAATGGCGTGGTTTCTAATCCCCTCTCTTCTCATTCACAGCCATCTATAACTACAACGCGTCTCAAGATGTGGAACTCTCCTTGCAGATCGGCGACACCGTCCACATCCTGGAGATGTATGAGGGTGAGTGCAATGCCCTCCCAGAAATGCGGGGCCCAGAAAGAGTTCATAGGAATTACTTATTAATAAAGCACTTAGAGTTAAGGCCCAAGTGTTCCTCTCCTCCTGATGCAGTTATGAAAACCTAAGAAGTACCCAAGGATATACAGCCCCATGCCGAGGGTATTTTCAACACAACCTGCTCATGGGAATGGGAATGTGGATATGCTCAGATACCAGAGTCAAGGTTGTTGCCCCCGGATACAAGAGGGCTCAGCTGCAGAAGTGGCTAGGGGAGACACACTCAGGACATTAGGCTTATGGTAGCTGGAAGGAAGCATTGCCATTTAGGGGAGGATCTCTTTCTACTCAGTGCCCAGCATTACCAGGTTGGGGAGAATGAAAGTGAGACTCTGAGAGAACTGGGTCAGGACTGTAATAGCAGGTCCTACTTGTGTTTGTCTGTTTTCTCCAGCCACCTGGGCAGTGGTTCTGGTTAACCTGGGCAATACTTAGAACTGTGTGTGCAAAGCCCAGATCAGACCTGCATCAACCCATTCAATCCTAGGAGACCTCCAGGAATTTACGTCTCTAGTCCCAAGCCCCAGAGCAGCAAAAGCATCCCTGAGCCACCAAGGCTGAGGAACAAAGCAGAGAACAAACTCTTGGGCCTGGTTTATTAGAACCCTGTAGAAGCTGTGGTGAGGAAATGTCAGGAAACTGAGTAGATTTTTCTTAGAGCAAAGCTTCTTGGTACAGACACTCGGCTGTAGCATGAGTTCTAGTTGCTCTTAATAATATTAAGATATTATTAAGGATATTAGGGAGTAAAAGCTGAAGACTCAGAGGAGAGTGGCCAGTGCTAGAGAGTTCTCACCTCTACCAATGCTCAAACTGAAAAGGCGATCCTGCTCTCAGACTGTGCCCTCAGACTGACTGCCTAGACTGCGCTGCTCCTCAGACTACACTGAACTCCTGTCTCCTCTTGCCTTGTATTCTTGTCTCCGCCTGGTTATATCACTCCTGTCTCCTCCCTAGTGCTGGGATTAGAGGCATGGGATCCCACGTGCTGGAATCACCTTTGTGTGAGCTCTGTTGCTCTTTTAGACAGATTTAATCTTGTGTACCCAGGGTGGCTTTGAACTAACAGAGATTCCCTCTACCTCTGTCTCCCGAGTTCTGGAATTAAAGGTGTGAGTCACCACTCCAGGGCCTCTAATGGCTTAGCTCTGCACTCTGGTCTTCAGGCAAGCTTTACTTGTCAAAACACAAACAGAATAATCACTACACTCTGCATTGGTAAATGCTGGGACAGGGGAATGGCAAAAGTGTCGCCTAAGAACCAATGCAGATCTCCAGCTTCAGACAGGATGATACAAGAAGGGGATGAGATGGGAAACCTGGGGGAAGGGAAGCAGATTTGGCCATAATTAAGCTGGGTCATGTGCCTGGTCACATGGGAGACTGGTGTGACGGCTTCCTCCCTTAGATCTGGGTCCTTGCCCTTCACATGCCCGTCTGTACCACTCCGTTTAGCTGTTTGGGGCCCTGTGGTGGCACATAGTCAGAGAGGACCAGGTGGACTCTCCATCTATCACCCTTGCCAGCCTCAGACCTCAGCAGGCATTGGTTCGGACTCACCACTATATTCATAACACCTGACATGCAAGTTTTTAGATCTGGAAACCACAGCCCCCGCAGATCCTGCTAGGTCAGTCCTTTGTCAGGGGGGCAGATAAATATACTGTGGACCCTGTCATCATAGTTTTCCACCATGCAGGTAAAAAGCATGTGTTCAACTTTTGTAACTTCCATATGGGCTTGAAGAAATGCATGTTTAAGGATCATTGGCATTTGGATCCAGACTTTTATATCCAGTTTTTCCTCCCTCCCTCCCTCCCTCCCTCCCTCCCTCCCTCCCTTCCATAGTTGCAAACTGTTTGGCCTATTAGTTCAGGCTTATTATTAACTAGCTCTTATACCCTAAATTAACTGACTTCTTTTATTCTGTCTTTTACCACGAGGCTTGTGGCTTATTACCTCACATCTTTCTTCTTCAATGACTGCTGGCCTCTCCCTCAATCCCACCTTTTTTCTCCCTCCCTCTCTCTCTCTCTGCTTGGATTTCCCGCACGGCTATATTATGCCCTGCCATAGGCCAAAGCAGCTTCTTTATTAATCAATGCTAATAAAACATATTCACAGCATACAGAGGGGCATCCCACATTATTTTCCATTTTTTGTCTAATTGAAAAGGAAGGTTTTAACTTTAACATGGGAAAATTACATAAAACATAACAGGTATCAAGTAAGAATTACAGTTATAATATTTATTGTATTTGTATTTGGCAAAATTAAATAAAATAATCTATCATCTAATTTTTGTGAATCTAGTTTCATATCCAATTTAAGCTTAACATTAACATAATAAAATTATATAACAAAACAGGTATCAAACAAAAATTACAGACACTTTAGGCCTATAAGGCTGAAGACAGATGCCCCAATATTACAGAACAATTTTGGGTGACTGTCCAAATGATATCTCTGTCATTTTTAGAGTTTTGGAAGTTGCTTACAATGTACTTCCTGTTTACTTAGGCAATATTATATCATACTGGGATCTTTGATGGAGTTGAAGACTAGATAGTTATTATTGTAGCTTTCCTCAGATGTGAAACTTAAATTAGATATGAAACTTTAGATTCACAAAGATAAGATAGATGATAGGGTATTTTCCTTAATTTGCCAAAACAAGTAGACTGAATATTATAACTATAATTCTTGCTTGATACCCAATTTTCCCCCTTTTTTATTGATTTTATTGAGTTCTGTATTTTTCTCTGCTCCTCTCCCTGCCTCTCCCCTCCCCTTCAACCCTCTCCCAAGGTCCCCATGCTCTTAATTTTTTTTTCTACTTCCCATGTTGATTAGATCTATGTATGTCTCTTTTAGGGTCCTCATTTTTGTTTAGGTTCTCTGGGATTGTGATTTGTGGGCCGGTTTTCTTTGATTTTATGTTTAAAAAGCAGTTATGAGTGATTACATGTGATAATTCTCTTTCTGAGTCTGGGTTACCTCACTCAAAATGATGTTTTCTAGCTCCATCCAAATTTTGAATTTGCCTGTAAAATTCAAGATGTTCTTATTTTTTTCTGCAGTGTAGCACTCCATTGTGTAAATGTACCACATTTTCCTTATCCATTCTTCGGTCGAGGGGCATTTAGGTTGTTTCCAGTTTCTGGCTATGACAAACAGTGCTGCTATGAACATGGTTTAGCACATGTCCTTGTGGCATGGTTTAGCATCCTTTGGGTATGTACCCAAAAGTGGTATTACCGGATACCCAGTTTTTCAATCTGCTATATGATAACTTTTTTTTTCTGCTTTTTTGGTTACTCTGTTGAGTTTTTCACTGTATTGTAGTTTCTGTCTCTAAAGAAATAGGAGGTTTTTTTTTTTGATTTATACAGTCTCAAACATGTTTTTAGAATATATGTGCCTACCCTTTTAGAACTGTGCTAAACAACTCTTAACACCTGCTTCTTAAGTCTTTTAACCTTCTTTATCCATGGTAGTGCTTTTTGCTTTACTGAAATTACAGCCTGCTCATAGTGAGGCCCAGCTCTATAATTTGTGTCCTGTTGGCCCCCTAAGGCTCTCCAAAATGCTACTCTAAGACTCTCAGGCATCCTTTCTCATATGAGCAAATGCCCCAGGCAAGATGCTGCCACGAGTACTGGGCTGGTCTCTGGGATTTGTCTCTCTGCGAATTTTGGCATGGACCTTCTTTTCTTGTCACTAGTAGGTTCCTTGTCTCTGTCTTTCTCTCTCTGTCTGTCTGTCTGTCTGTCTGTCTGTCTGTCTGTCTCTGTCTGTGTGAGTGGCTGTGTGTATGTGTGTTTCAGCAGGGGAGGGGTGCTTCCTAACTGCCTTATGGAGTGCATCAGAGAATGGAGTATTGATGCTGATCCGACATAAAGTTAACAACATCCCTGACATGCATTCTTAAGACTGTTTCCTCAAAAAAGATTGGGTTTTAAAATTTTTATGTGGCTCTAATCCATTTTTGTGGTGGCTACTGGAAGCCTTCTGTTCTCATAGAACACATATTAGTAATGGTTTTGAGTATGGGCACTCTTACACTTTGTAATGGTCTCACTGAGAACTGATCTTGGTTCAGTATGCAGCTTGAGCATCTCGTACCCAGAATTCTTGGGACTGCAAGTGTTTATGATTTCAGACTGTTTGGGATTTTGGAATATTTAGGGATTGTGAAATATTTAGGGACTAGAACCTAGCTGTAAATTCCTTTCTTTTTTTCATATATATGCAGGCTTATGCATATAACCTGAAGATAATTTTGTACATTATTTTAAATAATTGCATCATGGTGTGTAATCTACCTGTGAAATCACATCAGTGCTTATAAAATTTTGAGTCTTGGAGCATTTTGGATTTTGGAGTAAGCATTAGGAATGTCCATATTATACTTAATGTAAACACAGATACACGAATCCCATCTGCTTCTAAACCCATGTAGATGAGTACCCAAATCCCAATGCATGGTGCCTTTAGGATGTTGTTGCCCATACACAGCGTGATTGATTGCAGGGAATACCGGCCCACTGACCATCATTCAGAAAACCTCACCAATACTGCACTTTGGGAATGATCAGGAGCTGTCCACCCAGCCAGTTTTCTTGCAATTGTTTCTATAGATTTTGTGTGCCACTCTTAGAATTCGAGGCTCTCTGAGAAGGATGTCACCCTTAGTGTTTTCAGAGTAGGGAAACATACAGACAGAGTTCATTACCTCCGCGTGGCTTGTTAGTTGCACACACATCATTATATTGGATTAAATTTTTCCAATAATGTTTCTTTTATGGGATTCCTTTTTAAATAGGGCCCGCCTTGCCCAACACTCAGGGGGAGACTCCTGTATCTACTTAGTACTCTGAGTTCTTGGCGCGAGTCTTGAGTTCCTCTATTATTTCAGGCAGTTGAAGACTGGGGGCAGGAGT